TTACAAGAAATTTGCAGCATATTATCAATATTTCAACAGTTTATTGTAAAAAATAGAGCTTATAGGAGATCTTGAAAAAAAAATTATAAATTCTCTTATTTATCCCTAATAAACTGTTAATAAAGTTTTCAACGTGTCAATTCCTAATAGTCCAAAAGTGATTTTTATCTGAAAAAGTGCCTCCTTACTTTTATAATTTTATAATTTAATAATTTAATAATTAAACATTCAAATTACTTTTTACTTATTTTTAGTTCCTCATGTTTATGCGCGTGTGAGAAAGAGTGTATAGTAATATGATCGATTATTTCTGCCAATGAGTTAGTTAAAATCATTAAAAATAAAGAGAAGATAGTGGGATACCAGCGTCCCACTATAGCTCAAAGGGATATATAAACAAAGTTTCACACCTCTATTAATCTTAAGTGAGCCGTATCGCGACGTTATCCCAATTTGAAGCTCAATTACAGGCCCAACTTAACGCCGGGCGTCGCGAAGTTGGTGTGGCCAAATTGGTCGCAAAAGTGGACGAAAGAAACCCAGGGCGCCATCGAGGCGGCAACGTCACTCCGCAAGCGGTACAAATCGATGCCGCTTGAAGGCAACATTGCCAAATAAAGGGTTAAACGGATCACGACGTCGGTCGTATTTTTCGACGGCGGTACCGGAGTCCGAAAAAGAAAAAGTGCCGTGTTATACTGTTACCGTGGCGGTATATGTGTGTTTGTGTGTGATGCAGCGAGAAAAAAAAATGCACTACTCTACTGCCTCAGATATTGAATGGGGAACGAGTGCCGTCCCTCTCTTACGCTGGGCGCTCGCGCGCCGGAGAAAGGTCATTGCACACTCGTAAACAAACAGGACGCGGCGCGGCGTCTATAGCACGGCCGCGTCACTGAACGTACCACCGATCTAATGCCGCGCGGCTCAAGGTCGCCTCGTCCGTGGCTCCCGAACGTACGATTTTGACGCCCCGCTGCCTTTTAAATTCCCGGAAACACGGCGCGCGCAGTTCGCGATCGATCACTCTCCGTGCGAATTTCGCCAACTCCCGACGCCTCGTTGCGCGAAACGCCGCGCGCTGTGTTCCGTAACGACGGATAACTCTCGTTTAATTTCGCGCACTCGCGTTGAAAATGTCGAAGCGTGTTGGAGAATTTTTTGGCAACTCGTGTACTTCTAGAGAGAGAACGAAAGGTCTTTCTTCTCCGATTGACGTCAAATGTGCCTTGCCGCGAAGAAAGTTTAATTACGAATTCAATTACAACGATATATATCGCGGTTAAGTGTGTGTGTGTGTTCTATTACCTCACTTACACGCCAAGTATGACTTGATTCACATTTGTATTTTAAGAGATTGCATGACAAGAATAAAATTATTAGGTAAAGCTTGGGGAATTGTAAAAAGTTGTAAATTAATAAGAATATGAATTTTTCGTTAGGTATGTCTGTTAACAATATCTTGATATAAAGAAAATGAAATTTCATAGTAAATATTAATATCACTGTGTCCATATTAATTCTGTTTTGCGGAAGAATTGTACTTCAACGATAACTATCTTGCCTACTGATTCTGTAACTTTTAAAAACTGTCGTAATCGTTATCGTTGCTATCGTTATCGCAGGTACAACACATAAATGTTGCACAATGACAACATAAAAACACTGTCGTTAAAAGTTACAAAGTCAACAAGCCGACTTCAAGTGGAGTGATCTGAAAGCAGTATCAATACATTATTTTTATTCATTAAAGTTATAGTTATCAGTTCTCATGGAGGTTTATCGCAAAGTCCAGAACTACTATTTATTTATTTATTTTACAAACTCGAAATTTTATGGAAAAGATTAAATTTGATTTCTTATAACTCCCATTTATAATATTTTTTTTCAAAATTCGCTCTGTAAGAATTGATAACTATAACCCTAATAAATAAAAAAATATGTATTGGTACTGATTTCAGATTACTCTTGTTGAGGCCACGACGGTTACCGTTATAGCATGATTCTTTTGCAGAATAGAATTGAGATGGACATGACAATGTTAATTCACCATAAAATCTGATATTTTTATGTCAAGATATTGTTACTAGATATACATAACAAAAAATTCATACTCCTATTAATTTATGATCTTTTACAACTCCCTAAATTTTATCTAATTTTTACACCCGTCTATATCTTTATTTTATAATAAATAGTCAATATCACAGTTATCATATCGCTTTTCCATTTTATCTCACACTTCACCACACTATTTTCTTTTATATCTTGTACTATCTTCTTTATACTTTGTAATCTCCTTCTTTTCTATCACCTCTTCTTACATTCTCTTAAATCTAACTTTTAGCTTATGTCTATACTTTTCACCTTCTTCAACGCCATGTCTTTTTCTCTCCGAAACTTCCTCGATATTTTACCTTTCACTTGATCTAATTCATCGTCCCGTATCCTACATTCCATCTCCCATCTCCATCCCTTACCTAATATATCGCGGGTAATTGAGAGGTTGAAGTAAATCGCAAATCGGTTCGACATTTCCGATTAAATCAATTCCAAAGTCGCCGTAGTCTGTCCTTTCAGATTAATCTGATCAATGCTATAAACGACAACGTCTCGTACGCGCGTCTGAGATGTCAAGTTCGACGATAAGTAACGAACTAGAAATAAGTACATACGCGGATGAGCGATAGGAACGTCATACGATTTTCTACTCAACGGGCGTTTCCCGGCGTAAATTAGACCCAGAAACAACAATTCAATTCCGCCGTGTATTTGCGAAATCGACCAACAGCTTTGTCGGCGGTGGACTCCTAAAAGCGGCGATTTTGAGGTAGCACTGCACTATTATCCATGTATTTGTAGATTCGATTACACCAATAGATACACAACCGGCCGCCGTTCAGTATTCGATTTCAAACTCGATACTAGTGAAGCGATAGCGAACTAACCGCTGATATAAGTTTGGAATTAACACCGCGTGGTTAATTCGGAATAAAAACGTGCACAAACACAACGAGATCCGCTCTTTAATTCAATTTAAAACGCCAATTTAAGGTTTTGTTAACCGTCACGGCACAAGGCACATCATGAGCCGGCATATTCGAGAGGCGTAACAGTCTGTTTTACGCGCAGAGACACGTTCCTTCAAGCGGCAGCGCTTGACACCGGCCGCAACGAGAAGGTCAAAGGTCACTAACCACTCCGCACTCCCAACGAATTTAGCCAGCGCGGCGTCGCGGCGTCTGATACGCCTAAATGCGCGTGTAGTGAATGAATGAGTGAGTGAGTGAGTGAGTGAGTGAGTGAGTGAGTGAGTGAGTGAGTGAGTGAGTGAGTGAGTGAGTGAATGGCGAGCGTACGATTCTAAACGTTCTCGTTCTTTCCCTCCGGAGGGACGACGAGAGGAGACAAACGGCGATGATCGAACGGCGAGGCCACGTCGTCCATATCCAGATATACTTTCACGATTATCACGATGTGAAACGATCTATGATAGAAGCTTTACATTTTCTTTAAGTGCATTTGTGAAACAAATGTACTGTATATCGAATTAATCACTTAAATTTATGTCACACTATAATGAAAATTCCTTGTTATAAGGGAACCTGGGGCATAATGAGACCACGAAGCATAATGAGATGGTCGATAACTTCTTACAGAGATGCTGCCATGTAACGAAATATTTTGCAACTGTTACTGTTTGATGTCTCTTACAGCGTATTGTTATCAGTTGTCGTATTATTTTTAGCTGAAAGATGCCATAAATTGTTTAATACGTTTGCTACGTCCTCCGCAACTGCGTTGTAATTTGTTTTGCACAAGGTAAACAATGATAAGATTATATTTTTTATTATTGTGTATGTATACTAACGTTATCAGACGATCTTTTATCGTCATTTTAATTAAATGCCTATGCAAATATCGGCTATCTATGATGTTTTGTACTATATAATTCAAACATTTCAGGATATAACAGAATTATGCCATTATGTTCTTAAAATGTTAAATTGCATTATTTTTTATCATGTGTTATGTTTCAGAAAATTTATATTAAAAATTACTATACTAGAAATAATGATTGTTATTAATATTTTAATAATAGTTTTATCGTTTTATAAAAAAGTGTTGTTAATAAATAATTAAACGTGCAATAATGTATTTTTATATATTGTATGTTTTAGTAAGTCATTTTTAAAAACTTTTTAGAGCCAGTAATTAGGAAATAAACAAGTTTTGTAAAGTATCTCATTTTTGCTTCGCACAGGAGGCATAATGAAGTTAATTGGCGCTTTTGATAAAACAATAATTTCATCCTTTTAAACTATTTTTTTAAACTATTTCACTATAATAAAAACTTGTGTTTTTATTATAGTGGATAGTTGCACCAAAGAATATTTTGGTACAAAACCAAGTTGATTTATTTTTAATATATTTGAAACTTGCTTAATAAGCCTTAGAGTTCCTATTATGTCCCGAGTTCTCCTATTTGTGCGGCAAGAAATTTCCGAAAAGTTTCACTCGGCACTGTCACAGCACATTTTACACGGCACTTCGTTTCGGATAAACTTCGATCACTATTTTCGTAATTCTTTCGCATTTCTGTTTAATCCTCCTGTGACAAATACGAGCGCCATGTGGCCCACTCACAAGAAATGCGAGCGTTGCAAATCGAGCGATGAAGTCGCTGTCAAACTTGCGCGCACCTGTCTGTCAGTATTGATAATTGTATCGATGCCCTAAATGTTAATAAAAGAAAAGAAAAGAAGAAAATACGTGGCAACTAAAGATCGCAATCACCAGTGTTTCTCTGTGTCCGCGATATGCAGAATTACATCGATTCACGGCTGACGCGATACCTCCCCTCGCGGTGACATCTGTCAATAGTTAAAGAGAGCCGTCGACGTAGCGGCGCGCTCACAACACAGGGGGATTCACAGCCGACCGGCTCTACCGTTCGATCGTCGTCGATACGCAGACGAGAGCACAAGTGCGTGCCTTACCTGTTGCCAATGATCCTCGAGCGACGGCTGGGCCGAGAAGTATCCGGTGTCGTGTATGTCCTGCAGCTCCCGGAATATATTACCGCTCGGCAGGATATCCATGGCTACGCGCGGCTAAGTCCCTCGCGACGGCCCTCCGCTGTACTTGCACTCTCTTTCCCTCGCTATACTTGTGTCGCGTGTTAACGCGAGGAACGAATGAGCGACCGACCGACCGGCGACGATAAGACGAACTCTCTCTCGGAGCACCGACGAGCACCGGCGTCACTCACTCTCTTGTGCGTTCGGTGGCACGCGCAAAAACAACGCGGCAAAACAAACGATTCACTGAACGCGCGTCGAGCGTGGACGACGCGCGTACAACTCGCGACGATTACTCGCGCGCACGCACGCACGTAAGCGAAGCAGGTAGCGGCGAGCGCACGTGCGTATCATCGGAGAGAAAGAGAGAGAGAGAGAGGCTCCACTCCGTGATCGCGAGGGAACGCGGCGGCTACGACGGCGAGAACGCGCGGACAGAACGGCTGCCGCGATCGCGATTAGAGGGACGGTTGGAGCGACGCGACACGACGTGACGCGAGGCGATACAGCCGCGCACACTTCCCGAAGCAGTCCGTATCCCGGTTTGTTCCGGTTTCCGCGAACGCGCGCGCACTACGCGCCGAAAAGCTCTATCTCGCTCGCTCGCTCTTTTTCTCTCTCCTCTCTTTCTCGCTCCCACGTCGTTGCGAAGAGCGAGCTATTGCTTCCGTTGCTACTGTTGATATCGCGGCTACTGCTGCTACTGCTACTGCTGCTGCTACTGTTGCTGCTGCTACTGTCACCGATGAAACACACGGCTGGAGCAAACTCACTGCGACAACGACGTCACTCGTGCGGCTCGACGTTCTGTCTGCTGGCGTCGCGTGCACGGCTTGCTCGCGACAGTATCCATCACACGCGGAACGAGGGGGAGACACAACGTCAAAATGCCGGCTCGAGTCGCGTAGCGTCGTCTGCGCGGTTCATTCGTATCGCTGCGCCTCTTCTCGTAGTCGTCCTTCCCGTCGTGTTACCACCAACGCGCTCTTCCTTCCTCTCTCTCTCTCTCTCTCTCTCTATGAGAGACTTCCGACTATACTTCTCCCTTCAATTCGATCCTGTATCTATATCCCTTCCGGTGCGCGTATCCGTCGTAACCGATTCGTCTCGCTTCACTTGAACCGCTGTCGAAAACTCGCGTATTCGTCGCCCACGACACACACAACGTCCCTCTCTCTCTCTAGTTTCCTCCGCTTTCCTCTATTTCCCCATATATCTCACGCTTCCTCCGTCACTGCTCGCGAACCGGCTTTTTCACGGCGCGCGCGCGCGTCTCACCCGACGCCGGTTTGCTACGCCGTGTCACTGCGACGGTCGCGCGACTGACACACGATCGGCCAAACCGATTGCACGTCACCAGGTATCAGACCTGTCGAGATACAACACCGAACGAGATATTTGACACTCCGTTAAAGGGACCGGCGATATCCCCGACCACTGAAAGCGTACGGACTCTTCCGCGCGAGTGCCGAAGAGTGACTGACGTTGCCTCGCCGTAACTGCGCGCGAGCTGGCCCGAACTCGGCCGAGAGGAGCCGAGCGCGCCACCACAGTACCGCTACCGACGGCCGCGCGACGTCGTGGCAGCACCGCTCGGTGGCGTCGCGACGCCCCTCTCGCGTCACGGGAAATCAGAGCTCTCGCCGACATGACGAGCGAGAGTCACCGACGAAAAAAAAGCCTTTGTTTAACGCAGTTCGTTCCTGCGATCCACTTTCGTCGTCGGTGTAAACAGTACCACGGCGTGACCTAAACAATCGATGCAGGACGGCCGGGAGCGAGCATCTCGGAGAGAATCCGGGCTGTGATGGCTCTCGCGCACAGAATGTATCGCTAAAAGCCGTATCCGCGCACATACGAAAATCTTGGTTGAATTAATCAGAATTCAGGATCACCGTTGGTGCGAATATGAGCTTACCGTATTTTTGATTAAGGTAACCAGTCTTGATTAGAAGCACTTGGTTAAAGTGACCAAACTTGTTTTGATTACTTTAAACCAAACAAAATTTTGTTCGTATTTCTTACTAAAAATTTTTTACTTTTTCAACTAAAAGTTTCTTAAAGATGCATATGATTATTTTAATTAAAATTTAATTAATTTGATATTATATTGTATTTATAGAACTTCTTATCTTAATGAGATTCGAATCCCAGAATAAATTTGATTTTAAATCATCTGTCTGCGCGTCACTTCACTAATTGATTGATCTATTATATATCTATTATATATTATCTACCAATCGACATTGTAATCAGCATTGAATACCAGAATATATGATTGCAATATATATAACCAGAAATTCTGTTTAGTTCAACCAACAATCGTTGACCAAACATGTCACATTCATCCAACCGTACTTTCTAGTCATAATAAGCAGACACTTAAATGTTACAACTGAATCAGCAGTAACCAAACTTTGACCGTTATTAGACCTAAATGTTCTAACAGAATATTTCATTATAATAACCAGAAATTTCTGTTTAGTTAAAACTTGTTTAATTAAACATATCATGTTAATCTAACTGATGTTATTTTTACTGTGCAAAGATGTAAAATTACCATCGAATTCAAAGTGATGATTGCTTATAGTAGAATTACGCTAAGATTTAATGTGATTAATGTGATTAACCACATTTAAGATGTAATGTGATTTTGGTTAAATTCGTTGTTCTTGACAATTTCATAGATAAATAAGCTGTATTCATACTTTTTGCACTAAAGATATAAAGCAGCATTCTTCTTGTATTCTCATCAAATATGCATTTGATAATCTCTGAAATGCCTTTCAGACGAAAGAAAGCAAACTATTTACAATGCTTCGAAGATACTGAAGTTTTAATTTTTTAAAATACTACTAAAAATTTTCAATTATGGTCTAGTCTGGTCTATACCATAGTCTAGTCGCTGAAACAATAATAAGTGAAAATAGTGTAAATCTATAAGATATGATGATATAAAAAATACAGTTTAAGACTGTACTTCTAAATGTAGTTTAAGACTGTACGATACTATACCTGTCATACTTTTTGTTTTAAAAATTCTAAAAAATAAAAAATTTTCTTTTAAGTTTTTCTAATTATACGATATATCTCTAATTTTATAATTACTATGTAGTACATCAATCTACAGTATTACAAAAATATTTTCAAGAAAATATCAGTTAAATAAAGTGTCTTTCTCATCTTAAAGACTAAATACTCCTTTTGAGCTTTATATCAAGATTTATTTATTTCTGTAATTTTTTTCTAAATTACCACTTTACCAGCTTTATAAAATTACCCGGTAATTTACTGTAACATACCAACGTAAGTTACTATCAAATTGAGTTATTTTTATTTCTAATCGATTAATTCTTAACAGGTTTTTAATTTTATTTCACTTCAATCATTTTAACTACTGGAATCATTTTTCTTACACTTAAAAACTACCTACAAATGCGCTTTGTCGCGCTGTATAATCGCATATATAATCCCTTGCACTCAGAAACTGCACCAAAATGTGATTGTCTCTACGATGTATAATCTAATTTAACCACCGTTCTGTTAACCATGAGATATAAAAACGTACAGTTTCTGAATCAAATAAATAGAGCCAGGAACAAATAATTAGTTTTTTTACATTAAATAAATAAAACGATTTCTGCAAAATAAATCTTCAAAAGCCCTTTCCCCCCGCCCCTTTCTGCACAAAAACGTTTCTGTTATTTCCATTTTAAAAAGTGTATTATGTTTCCGCCCATGGAGATATATTATACGCGAATTTCACATTATATTCCGTATGTATCATGAAATAATTTTAATCAAGCTTTCATATGCAAGGAACTGCAATTTCGCAACAATAATATATTTACGTTGGCAGTATAATTCTGGAAACGACGTTATTACGGCGCGTGACTTTTGGCTCGCGACATCAATTAAGACCATATTATGAGTTAATCAAATCAAATAACGTTGCATAAAATAAATTCTTTGCGTGTGTTTTGCCTTTATGAGACTGTTCCGTCGCGGCAATGTAAAAAATCTTCCGTAATTACCACTTCGATCGCACGATCCCGCAATAACTTGCACTGGGGTCGGGCGTTATTTCAATTATGGCATTACAATCGCCATCATTGCGAGTCGATAGTACGTTCCGTTCGAATCACTCGCATAGGCAATATGCGCCTCGCGGATTCCCATTCAAGCGACAATGGGATAAAGGTCGCCTGTAACTTATGCGTCTGTCTGACTTTCACACGGCGTAGTCACGATCGGCCACCATTCAGGAATCTGATTTTAGCCTCGCGCTCGCGCCTTACAGCTGATGCATTGTACATCGCGGACAAATCTGTCCCAAGTTTTTTGCGGAGCTTAGAACTAGGGAGTAATTTAACTCTCTGAGCTATACATTTAATTTTTCAGGAAAGTTTTACCAAATTTGGTATATGAGAGATTTCAGGATCATTGCTTGCGAATTTGAAGTCGAAAAGTTAAAATTGAAAATAGGTTCGATATGGCGATCATAAATTTTCAAAACTCGCTTTTAGCATTATTTGAAAATAACAATAGGGCTAATCATTAGGAATCGACACGTTGAAACATTGACAGTTTATTAGAAAAAATTAATAGTGTTTTACACATTCTTTCCAAAAAATTCTGTAAGCTTTATTTTTGCAATAAACTATTCAAATATTAATAATATATTTACTGCAAGCTTCTTGTCAAAAATATCTCTTTTTTATATCGAAA